TCAATGTGTTGCACCCGCAACATCTAAATGGAGTAATGCCGCCTTCAAGTGAAAATTGGCATACTAATGTTGAAGGGGCTGATTATGGGGAAAATGATGGAAATGATACGCATGAATTTAATGAGATAACTGTTGCAAAAAATCTTTTGATTGAAAACCATTAAATGCTAAGCTAAACATTTTCTATAACTAAAATCAAACATGATTGAACAGCTTGTATCTTTCAAACATGCTTTAAACATGATGGAAAACTTCCTAAATATTATTAATAATGAGAGCTGCACAAATTTTATTACTATCTACCATTTAATGCATGAATTTGTAAACTAAATCATACCCACAACTTTATAAAATAGCTTTGATATATATATAAAAAAAAAGAATTTTGTAGCACGAAAGTGTTTGGTACCAATTTAACTTGTCATATATAGTGATGAGACCTATTGTGATGTTTAGTCTATGAATATTAAATGTTGTTTTTGGGTTGATTGCAGTTCCACTACATGGAGGTGAAACACTTTGAGCATAAAAGAGAAGATGATCACGATTATAAGGATAATAGAGGAGATGATAACTATGAATTCAATGAGATAAGTGAGTTTAAAAATATTTTGATTGAAAACAATTATATGACATGCTAAACATATTTGCAAAATTAAAAATTGAACATGAAAGATGTTTGGGACCTTAGCTCTAAGCGCCACTGGAGAAATTTGTAAAAGTCATTATATACAATAAGATATGCATAAATATTATTAGTAAGTCTCCTACTAAATGCAAGAACTTGAAAACTAAACTATACACACAATAATATAAAGTAGCTGTGAGTACATAGGGAAACTTTAACAATTCAACATACTCAGATGTCTTTAGTAAGAAATTCAATGAGAAAAAATAGAAATAATCAAATTTTGTTGTTTTGCATTCAATTCAATATTATAGGCACTACTTATTAATTAAATAATTTATCATATATTCTACTCATCAAGTCCCAAAAAAAAAAAATTACAGCATCAGCATGCTATGCAAATTGAACTTCTATAGGAATACACACACATGAGAGTTAAAACATAGTGCTAGACTTGAAAATAAATATGTTGATGCTTTAAATCGTGTTGTTAATTTACATACTATGCAAATTAAGGTAACTGGTTTTGATCATGAGAATAAACTTAACATTATTTTACATGCTATGCAAATTGAACTTCTATAGGAATACACATGAGAGTTAAACTGCTTTACAAACCTTTACTCATTCCTTACAAATCTTAAGAGTATGTTAAGTTTATTCTAGAATTAACAGAAACCTTGAGGAAATATCTCTCTTTTTTGATGGTAATGAATTGCTTTGTCTAAAATGGCTCATTTCACTCAATAGTTTGCAATTTTTTATCCATATTGTATTTTAGTGATGTTGTTAAACTACGCGCGTTGCTTTAAACCGTCATCTTTGACTAAACTTCATAAGTTGACGAACTCAGTGGAAAAGCATGAGAAAACTCATCATCAACAAACTAAGGTAGCTAATAAAAGTAGTGATTTATAATGTCTAGTTCAAGCATCCATTTGGTCAAAATTTTATATTATTTATAAATGAGATTGCACGTAATTAGTTTGTCAATAGGTCTACTAATATGAGCCCATTTAAAATTATTATTAGGCATCAAAATATAAAACCTAAAAGCCTTGTTAAACTTCATATAGCATCTAGACCTGACGAGTTTACATAAACATTCACACAATGACTTGCAAGAAAAAATTGCAAGAAATTGATTATTAATTCTAAAAGTTATAAGTCTGCTGCTGCTTTGAGCAAGAGATATGTGGAATTAAAACTAGTGATAAGGTAACAGTGTGTTTGAACCTTGAAAAATATTCCTACACAGAAATTAAGAAAATTAACAGCAAGAAATGCAAAGAGAAAAAATCATATAACTTATTGAGAAGAATACTTATAACTTACAAACTCCAGAAAGTATTGGCATTAATCCAATCTTCATTGAATTTAATTTGACTTTTTACATAAATATGATACTAATGTCATGAATTCCTCTCTTTTTTTCTCCTTTTTTATGAATCAACCTCCAACACCTTACCAAGTAATATACTTATTTGATTCCCAAAGTTATTTTAATTGATGAGATTATATCAACTACTAATAATTGACATCAAAGGCATCTTATACACCAGCAAAACAAGCTATTAGTGACGATTCATAAATTATCTCGTTGGAAGCACGTCAATTATGCCCTCAATTCACCGAGTTGAATCCAACAAAGTTGATAGTTTTAAGGAAAATCATGGATTTATATTGTTTGGAAGCACAAGACATGTGCGTTGAGAAAAGTGTATGGATATTCAAAATTTTGAGGTTGTTTTAATTTGTTAATAGTTATTTGATCTTTTATAGTATATTTGATGCATCATTTCTATGGCAAGTATTTGATACAATCCTTCTCAAAATCGGAGATCAGCACCTACAATTCAAGAGGCAGACAATCTCTCCCAATTCTTACAAGTCCAGAGATACGAAATCTCTACCAAACCCTAAACTTAAGACTCAACAATAATCTCATGCATAAACCTAACCCTGAACAAAAAAAAAATCCTATTTATATCAAGCAATAATAATAATAAAAGACTAAATTACCTTTAGGCATACAAAATACAAAATTGTCCTTACGCTAGGCACCAACATAGCAATTATGATTATAGATTGTATTCTCTAATATTATGATTCACTGGTCAGCATGGATTTATTTCTTAAATCTGCAAACTTAATTTATTTACCGATTATTGGATCTCTATTTTAGTTGTTTTCAATTCCCTATTTCAACATATGGTAAATTCTTTAGTTTCTATATTCAACCAAAGCTTTTTTTGTAAGATTACTACTACAAGTTTTCATTGATTTGGTGCCAACATTGTTGTCGGATTGGTCAGGCACCTTATTGATATAGCCTTGTTACTCACAACTCTTCATCTTCCTTTCTATATAATCATCACTGATTGCTGTATCTTGCACCTTTACTTTGATAACTAGCATGTGATTTCTATGAGAGTCGATTGCTGTTTTATTCAGCTATGTCCTTTGATCCTGCAATAGAAGGCTGCAAATATTTTTTTTGTTCTATTTTCCAAATCTCAATGTAGTGATGACTGAAGCTTGATGTTTTTAATTGACTTGGGAATTTTTGCTTTCGTTAAAATTTGTTCAATAGAAAATTATTGTTCTTATGTGATTTTTGATATTAAGGTTTAAATTTTTGGGCCAAGTTATGAGATTTTGAGGAAGCTGCCTATTTTAGGTTTTTCTTTAAGATCACTGAGGCGTGTAAGAATCCATTAAATAGTTCAATAAAATTTCAGATTTCTCTAGAGCTTGTGAGTGCTGGTTGAACGTAAATTTTTTAAGTCTGAAAGAAGCATCACAATATTTTTGTGAGAAATAAAGTTTCTCCTTGTACCAACACAATATATGAATTTTCTATCCGGTAATATCAATCAATGTTCTCTCATCCTAGTAATTTGTGATTCGTTATATGTGAACAAACTTTGTTAAGCTCATTAAAATTTGATTTTTCTATGTGACGTAAATCCTAATAGCTGCATATTTTAATTTCGTTCTCAAGTTTACTATTAAATTTCAGATTTTGACAGCCTTTAAACTACTGTTTCGATTTAGCTTTATAGTCGAAGCATTAAAATGCCAAAAATGAATAATCATTGGATAATTTAATTTTTTTTCTCAAAAAATTCTAAAACTGACAATTTGTCATGAATCGAGCATGTAAATGTACATATAACCTAAATAAGATTTTGTAAACCATCATATACATGGGGGTAGCAATGGAGGAATTCAAGGACAAAAACAAGTTCTCCCTCAAAAAATTTATTATTTCTAATTTATTCATACCTCCATCTTAAAATTATCATTTTCACCACAATCAATTTAGTTATGAGCACCAAATTTAGTTTTTCAACACTAGCATCCATAGAACAAAAAATTACATATCATATATTCAGTTTTTATTCAACTAATTCTAAGACCTTTATCTTTCAGCATTTCTCGTTTAATGAAAACACATACAAAACCACTTCACTTAGGAGGTGAAAAAGAAAGCACTGAAGGAAAAAATAAAAAATAAAAAATCTTTAGAGTTGAACAGGTACGTACTGAAACATGCCTAAACAAGTATCTCAAATGATTCAATATCAACAATAAACCATGATAATGATACAATGTACAGACTACGTCAAAATATATGTTTAAGGGTTATAAAAATTTTAATTAAAAAGATATGAACATGAACATACAGCAATAAGTGAAAATGTATGTATCCGCATTTGCAAATTAATGATTATTATTTATAAAAAATAAAGAGAAACTCATGCGAGCATGGTCATAAGCAAAAAACAAAAAGTAAAAAAAAAATAATACATACAAATAAAGAAAAATACATATATGAACATGTGAACACAAGCAAATAGGCAAAAACAACCACACATATGTGCTCAAAGTCTAAATTTTTTAGAACAATTTGCAAGCTTTCTTTTTTTATTTTAAAATCATACCTAGTATTATTAAATTTATATAGGCAGATATGCATATATATTACACATTTAAGTCCATAAAAGCTTACAAAAAGTCATGTAAGTCATGCTAAGTCATACCTATCCAATATATGTGTATAGTAAATCACATTTTGCCACTTCTGTGCTTGTAGTGGCACTTATTTACTCTATTTAAAAATTGTAGTTAGGTAGATCAAGTTGTTAACAAAGCCCAACTATTTATAAATTTTCATATATATCAAATGGGGCATTTAACAACTCATACTCAAAAGTGTCCAAGGATTTGATGAGTTTGGATTGAGGTATGTCACCCCTAACCATGATTGGTTGAAAATGAAAAACTTTAAAGCAAAATTTTGGTAAAAAATATGCTATTGTCCAAAAGCAAAAACTTTGAGAAGAAAATTAGAACATAAATAGCTTACCACACAAGCAAATACCATAGCAGTCGCAAATAGAGAACTGCCAAAGCCATCTTGAAATCCAATAGCTACTGCAAGGGCTGTTACTGTAGAAGAATGGGATGATGGCATCCCACCTGATCCAACAAGTCGTTTAACATCCCATCTACTTTCTTTGTACCTGTAATTCTAAGAAAATTAAACTTCTTACTAAGATAGCCCATAAAATTATTATAATTTAACTTCAGGATTAGAAAGTTTAACTTAGAGTAGAGGTTCATGAAATAAGGGAGTTAATGATACAAGTTAAGAAAATTGTTTCAAGAAAACAAGAATTTGTCATTTCTGTTAATCTTATTTAATCAAGCCCATTGACATGATCTTAATCATATTTTGCACAACTTTCAAACATCTTACGCACGTTCTTCCTCTTTTAACCCAACTCTTTTTTGAGTAATTCCATCTCCCAACTTAAGCGCACTTTCAATTCTATGATATTCACGAGCAAACTCCACAACTCTTTTAGGAGATCTTCCATCTCACAACTTAAGTGCACTTTCAATTCTATGTTTCTATTTAGATTTATGTTTGTGGAAGAATATGTTGAGTTGCGTCTTCAACTAGTAGAATGTTGCACATATATGTCCCTTGTGAAATTTTATAATGATATTGAATTTAAATCAGAGAATGGATTCCATGAAACCTTTTCGAAATTTTTGTAGTAGGCAAAAGGTGATCAACCATAATACATAAAAATATAGTGAGATAATGACATAAAACTGTTATTAACAAAAGATTGATAATAATCATGAGACTGATATAAATATCCACTTCAAAGAGATATGTTTTGTGAACTTCAACGATACAGATCTACAAATGATACGCATAATCAGCAAGTCATATTGTTGCTAGTGTTCTTCATTATAAGCTCTAAAAGATGGCTTTGAATAATCATCTTAATGAAAACAAGTTATCAAATTAGATCATTTCAGACGTGTATATAATAAAAAAGGTAACAACAAGAAGACAGCGAATGAGAATTGTTGGAAATTGGTTTGCTTCAAATCTCATGCCTGAGGTGGTGATAGCGTCAAAATTTATGTGTTATCGGCATGATTCTCAAGCCAAATATGATGGCAGAAGGCGTGTAGCATCGCAACACAAGTAAAAACAATTCACATAGAATTGAGAACAGCAACAATTGTTGCAACCTTCATTCCGCCTATTGTTAAATAGGATTACTTCAAAATTAATTCACCTCAGCTCATCACATTGGATTTTTGTGATCTTAATTTATGCCTGGTGACCAGGTGTGATAGTTTTAGAGAGAAGGAAAATGAGAGACAGAGAAGTGAGAAGGTCCAGGGTTTCAAAAGCCAAAGACCAACGAGTTTATTGTTTTGTTTTTTATTCTTAATACCATTTGATATGATGTGTGAATCACTCAATAAGTTGAACCGAACATGTCTAAAAACCGAGAGATTGCGGCGCGCACACTAGCATGTGAAGCATCGTGACATGTGCGCATCATTGTGTCACTGTGAAGCTCAACTTCCTCACACTGAAGCAAATCGTTTAGAAAAAGTATGCTTGGACAACATTATAATTACAATCATTTTTCCATGGTTATGGACTGTCGGCGACAAAAAGTTGGGGGAGTTGCCCTTAAGAAGCTATCGGCCACCGGAATCGAAATCTCGTCGTCCGTTTCGGAAGGACGTTTTAATTTACATATAGATTTAAGTTTAGAAAAATATGAAATCAAACTAACCCCATAATCTTCACAGTTTAAATGAAAAAGCGTTCTACCTTAAATCATGTATCTATCCCGAGGGATAAACACAAGACTTGAGGATGATGCTCGATCAAATAAACTAAGAAATATATGACGTCCGTTTGGTCTGCGAAACTATTTTATTTGCTATAAATTCTCCTATTTAATATGCAAAATTAAATAGGGTTTATTTTAAGCTGGGTTCGGAAAAGCTTCCTATAAGGGCAAACCCCTATAGTTAATTACATTTTAGACAACCGTAGTCACCTAAGAATACTTTCGATAAAAATCAGGAAAAATTATCTTCAAGGTGATCAAAAAGATAGGACTTTTCAACAAAATCGGACAAAGAGGTGTGCAAAGAGGAATGGTTCAAACTTGAAACATTTATTGTAGAATCTAAAGGAGGAAGAACTAGGGAATGTCACAGATCCGAAGGAGAACCTCGGTGACTTCCCAGTCTATCCTATGGTTTGGTTCCAGTTTAGAGGAGAAATTATTCAAGTGTTTTATCCTGCCAAATTTATTTATTTAAAGCTTACACTTGTATAAAACGATTACATAAGTAGCCTGGAAGATGTGAGGATTATGTCGTAACGAACGACAACCTCAGAATCCTCAAACGAGTTAGGGCTTAGATCGTACAGCAGAGCTATACAAATGTCTAAAGAAAAGATTGAGAATTTATGTTTCGTTAGGCGAACAACCTCGAAATCCTATGGATTGTTGTTTTAATTTCTAGAAAATGAAGGGGGGGGCGGGGAAGGTTTTGCTGGGAAGACATGTTCTGCTGTTAAAGATGATCGTGTTGCCCACAGCTCTAGTTCCAAGCTCCTTGTCGTGACGAGTTTAAGTTTTCTAGAATGTCAGGTTATAATGTCAAATTCAGCGGCCCTATGGTTGTATTTCTTCAGATATTTTATAGGGAACATGTTGAAGTTATATAGTGTACAGCATAACAGTAGAATATGTAGCACAAGACAAGCAGTAGAGTATGCAGTAAAGAAAGCAGTACAACATGCGGTGTAAAGAAAAGTAAAAGGTACAGCAGGGAAGTGATTATAAGAGAATAACATGTTGTAAACATAAAACAAACTTGTATACCTGAGAGATCCGCTGTTCCTTAGGTGTAATTGATGCAACATGTACAAGTAACAAAACTTGAGGAAACAGTCTGAAATGCTTTATATAAACGAAAAAAAAGAAACATCGTCGAGAAATTTCGAGAAAGATCGTCAAAAGACTCATGACAAGAGAAATGCAAGGAAACCGACGAATCGACAAATCTATTAAAATCGTAGAAGACACGGTAAAATCCCGAGAAGAGACCACGAGTGTTTTGTCCAAAAATTTCAAGAAAAACATATAAAAAAGTCCGAAAAGAGGGGACCCCAAGCACTCGGGTCGGGGCTAGGCTCAACTATGTATTAGTACTCGAGGGTCGTCGAAGGCTACTCGGTCACCCGGATGTATAAAGTCCGCACTCAACTAGAAGGGTGTCCTATCGAACCTAACTCAGGAGGGTACGACTAACTCAGGAGGGTACTCCTTAGCCCAAACAGGTAATCAACAGGTGGACAACCAATGTTTAAAAATATACTTAAATTTTATATTGTTAGCATGCACATAAATTTCAAGCATACATAAGGGGTTGTATCTATTTTATTTGTAGCGAAAATATATTTTTGTTTTAGAAAAAGGTGTATTTATTCTTATCAAATTTGTTTTTATCAATTTTGAAAAGTAGTTGTCCACGAGTCGATCGCGCTGTCGGGCATAAGACCACCAACAACCTAAGGAGATTCGGGTCAACTCCCGCTACTCTTGTGCCGGTGAATAATACTATCATCCTACAGCTCACCGGGTTCCTGAATCGGATCCCGATGTCATAGAATGACATATCATTATATTCTATCTCCAGTGTGTCTTTGTCATCACCGCCCTAAGCTCCAAAACAAAACTGACTTACTTGCAACCTTGTTTGATGGTTTCATGTATAGCAAAAGGCTATACGTGGACACTTATGTATCAGACATAAGCATCAAAAATCAAACCAAGAAACAAGAAAAAAAAGAACAAAAAATGGGGTGAGAGAGAGAAGAGACTGATTCACCAAAAACATCGAAAAGAATAAAGGATGAATTAGCTCTCAAAATTCGTGACGAAAAGACCTGAAAAGAAAAGCCCGAAGATCCTTGAAGCAATCCGAAAGGATATCATTTTCTCACGTTTTCATAAGTGGATCAACCCAAGGCAAAATGACCTCATAATGTCGGTATTCAAACCCCAAAGATATCTTTTATGAAATCAATTTGTCTCAACCAAGTATTCTCCCAAAATAAAATTCGGAAATCTCCCAAATTTCACATTTTAAACAAAAGGAAAATAACCCTGGGACGGCGACCACTTATACTTCCAAAAATCATATCAACATTAAAGCTATTCAATTCCAGATTTAATGAAAATCTCCTCGTATCAAATAAATATGAAATCCTCTGATTAAAACCACATAGAAGCTCACGGCCGAGCTTCAACAAATAAATGAACAACAGCTAAGGCTCTCAGCCAAAGCAACAAAGGGGCAGCTGCTAAAGCCCACCACCAAAGACAACCCAAGAAACGACAAGTAAGGCTCACGGCTGAGGCAACCCTACTCAATTATATGAAGATATTTGATATATATAAGAGAGTACAAGATATAACCCTCATTTTGAAATAACAGATTTGATCCATCAACAATCATCCAAATCTTTCAAACCCAACAAGACGGACTAGATCAAATTAAGCCATCCCCAATAGGTTTTACGGGTAAGGCCAAAAACGCACAACCAAGCTCCAACTAACTCGCGGGTAGGAGCCAAAAAAAGGGGCACAAAACAGGCTCTCAACAAGCCCTCGGGTAATGGCCAGAAAAAACGAAATCAAGCCCCTCCTCCAAACCACTTCTCGGGTAAGAGCCAAAACAAGTAAATCCAAGCTCCAAGGAAAGCTAAAACCGAGTCATTCAAGGCCAAAACAAGGTCAAAGCAAGCAAAACCGAGCCCACCCTAAAAAACCAGCTCTCGGGTAAGGTCCAGAAAAGGCAAAGCCAAACCAAGCCAAACTCTCGAGTAGGGCCAAGAACAAGTAACACCACGCCCTGCACCAATTTTAAATCATTTGGGGATAAACATGCACATATATTGGTCTTGAAGTGACCAACAACATATAGATCCCACGCGAAAAATAAGCCTCATGGTTAGACAAAGAACAAGAGCTAGATCAGGCGAAACCGAGCCCCAATGGAGGCTAGAAACCGAACCATTCAAGGTTAAAACAGGGCCCGAGCATAGATTAAGACCCAAGCTCTAATAGAAATTAAAGTTCCAGACACTTCAAGGTAAAACCGAGCCATTTAAAACTAAAGAACAGCTCACAAGATTTTGAAACATCAAGATATGGAGCCAATATATGTCTCAAAAAGAACAATGACATGGAAAACATATTCGGGTCACCAACTCAATTACTTCAAGCGAGAAACAGTTTCCAACATAGATTTGAGCAAAAGGATGCTTCACGAAGAGATAAACCAAGATATCAAAACAAGTTACATGGCTTTCGAAATTACAGAAAATTTTCTGATAGCATGCATTTCAGGTCAGGAAAAGCCACAGGGAATCAAAACCGAACTCCACATATATATATGAAAAGCAAAACAAGTTTTTCAATAGTTCATGCTAAGCAAGAGTGAATAAAAAAAAAGCCTCGTAGTGCATCCCAACATGTATTCCAGAGGAGCATATGTTATCTTCAAGCCCATATTCATCACATTTCCAATTGCTTTAAGTAAAAAAAGAAAAGAGAGAAGCTAATAACATGCCACATTCTCACTATCCTAAGCAAACAACCATGTCCAGCCCCTAAAACATGTCTGTCATTCTATTTCACATGCTCAAGTAATAAATATCTCAAAGTATAGGCGCAATAATAAACTAGCATGTTGTACCATCCAACATAGTCATTCTCAGTGGCTCGGCAGAGAGAAAACCGAAAGGAAGCAAGGTGCAAAGGGGGGGAGGAAGGTACCTCCTTAAAGCAGAATGTAATACAGGGATTTCAGAAAGAGAATACTTCACAACCTACACTCCTCTTCAACAGCCAGAGGAAGCCAACCGGAACACTAGGAACTAAAGAAGAAAGTGAGAAAGAAATTTGACAGAATTTTCCCTTCCCTGAGAAAATTTTCGGCCCCCTGAAACGCACCAACAAAAGCCTTATATAGACCAGAGAACTGGAGAAGAAATGATTAGGAGATCGTATACGATTCGAAGGATTGAGAGGAGCAGACGCCTCCATAAGGGCGTGCGAGAAGCAAAGGATGAAATCCCCGCAGAGGATGAGATACGATAAGGGATGGGTCGCGGGATCATCCCGCGTGCGTGAGGCGAGCGCGGGAACGAGACTCCAACGACAAGAAGGAGCGGGCTAGGTGGAACGAACGAGTCGAAGCTAGGGCAGAGGTCCACGAGGTCGAGACTTAACCGAGGGGAGGGGGAGATAATGAAATTAGGTTAGAATTAATATAAGGTATTAATTATAATAATAATAATAATATATTGTTTGTTATTATAATTAACACTTAAATGTATATTTTTTTCCAAACGTGTCATCGCGGTGAGACAAACGTCCCCCTTAGGCAAAATCGATGTTCCAGACTCGTCGGCGCAGTCCGTTTTGTCATCCAAAGTCGTTTAGGCAACTCCGTCGACGATTGGGACAAACGCGTCGCGATTCAAATCACGTCAAAAATTCAGCTCGAGCTCGATTAAATAGGACGGCGAAGAGCGCGCCGGCGCCAAATCAACGAGTACAGTCAATCCTAAGGCCGACAGTCCTATAGGAATACTCCCTGAGTTCCTTCAGAGTAGTCTTACCTGCTAAGCAATAACGGTCAAAACTACTATATGGAACGTCAAGTCGAGCGAAGAAAAGTTCAGAATTGCTAACGGAGAGGACTCCTTCACTAGTTTTCTAAGAGTAGTCGACAGAAAGGTCCTACGGCTAGATCCTAGGCAACTAATGAGGGGAAAACTGCACCTCGATCGAAAGCGAGGTCAACATGGAGTTAAAGAGAACTTGCACAAGCAATATAGCACTCTCTGTTGCAAGTTTCCCGGATATAAATTTGTGAAAAGAATGGCAACATAAAACCACATAAAACAGATGCCTTATAAAAAATATTAAGAAAAATATGATTCTTCCCTTAAGGTTATACCTACAACATTTTTACAAATCATTGCACGTAGCTTTATATATACTACATTTGTAAATATTCCTTATGCTGCATGCTACATGGGATGGAGTAAACATATAAAGAAACTATTTATGGTCATTTTTCACCATTTTGATGAGCCAAAGCATATCATCATGCCACTTATTAAAGTAAACACGCCAATAAGCACTCAGTGTGAGTAACCTATTTGCCAATATTGACCTTAGAATCTAACCATGGAATCTAACTGTATGTATTCATTACATATGGTAGAAGATATAATAAAGAAATCCTTGAAAAGATAAGTAGCCCTTCTTTCTACATTAAAAAAAAAAGATGAAAAAAATACTAGTATATGGTATGCCGTTTTACAGAATTTGAAAAAACAATAATCAAGTGATAAATGTAGAAGACTAAACTGTAACTAGTTTTCTATTTTAAAAGAACCACTGCTCCTTAAGAAGGATGGATACCTAGTTTTTACCAAACCATTTTTCCAAGTAGTAATGAAAACTACTAATGGGCGATAAGCATGTCATGAACAAATAATAACCTTTCCAAGAAATTTTGGTATCTTTGTGTGCTTTAACTAATACCTTTAAATAACCTCTACCCAATTTACACTTGGTAATATTATTCTAACTTTAAAATACTTTTTTAAAATTTCCATGTAATCTTAGTATTTTGTCAGATGCTTCATTGCCATCTCCATGCTCCTTTTTCACTGGCACTTTGATTCTTAGTTTTACTCCCAAAGCATTAAAAAAAAAATCACATTCAGCAATAAATAAAACTTCTTCGCATCATATGAACCATTTAGAACATGAATCATCAATAAAATAGTTCACTTGTATGTATTGTGATTGTTTTCATCAGAAACTGAAAGTTCAAGTTTTTCTTTCCACAGTTTAGCTCCCAAATATGTATAAAACTATACAAACTAGATGTTTGATAGTAGAGATCTAATAGCAAAAGCTCATTCAATTGTTTTCTTATATGAGATGAGTTGCTTTATACAGAAATATAAATCTTGATGAAAATAAAGGATTCTCTCATAAGGCTCAAAATTACATGGAATAAATCATTTTATCAAATTATGCCCACTATACCCTCTTTCCTGAGAAAAGAAACACAAGAAAGAAAATAGATAACACCCAACCCAACCTTCCAACCTTCATCTTCCCCGCCAAAAAATAGGGGGAAATAACAAAAACAAACAAATAAAGAAAGTCGAATTCAGCCCTTAGACCTCGATAGTCCGATCTTATATACAAACCAATGCCCGTTCGCTAAAACCATATTCTCATAGCCGTTAATACCTTTAAAATCAAAACCTAAAAAAGTAAGAAACAAACCCAAAATAAACGCCATCTGTTCTCTAAACTCAGGGCAAGATCAAGGTTAAGAGGGTCGCAGAGAGAAGGAGATACCAAGTGGTGAAGAACTTGATCGACTGCGCCACCGCGAAGGCCACCAGAGCTGAAATCAAAGGGTAATTCTGAAAAGCCGATCCAGAATTGGACAACGAAGACGGCAAAGAGGGAGAAGAGCTATCGGCGCCGCCCATGCGGGCCATCACCGCTGATCACCTCTTCTTCTCGACGATTCCCGTTCCTTCACTGCGGAAATAACGAGGCAAGAATCAATGCGTTCATCTTGTAATGGAAAACAACGACACGGAAAGACGAGATCGGCAAGGAGAATTTTATATTTTTTGAGGAGAGCGCAATCAAGGTGGTATCGATCGGACGGTTGGTGATGTATGAATATGATCCGCATATTCCTTAAATTGAATCAAGAATGTTCCAAGGCGGTCTTTGGCAGCATACAATTTATAAAATTTTAATCATGAATCATTTATAAAATTTAATCAAGAATCTAATTCAAATTTAATCAAATATTAAAAAAAATTAAAATTAAATCAGACCTCAACTAAACAGATAATTTGAATCAAATTTAATAAATAAAATAATTAAATAAAATAAAAGATGAGTTTGGAGCAGTCTGTGCATTTCAGGTTAAACAGTTTATCCTGAAACGCGGCCCGTAGCCGCGGTCTGTGTTTAGTGTAAAAATGAAACTGCATTTTCAGATAAGCGAACGAAATATAGGATCCAAAAGGTGCGGCATTTTCAAAACACCCCCGCACTTATAAGCTGCCCCAAACGGGCCCAAAGTTAGACAAGCCATAATACCCATTAGTCAAAAGGGGCCTCAACTAAACAAATAATTTGAATCAAATTTATTAAAATAAATAAATAAATAATATCAAATGTCATATACAAAAGTGCAGCCCAAACTGCATCCTTCTTCCACTAAAGCCACAAAACAAATTGGAAATATCAAAATCAACCAAAATAGTAAATAAATAAATAAAAACATGGCTGGTGCCACCACAACCTTAGCTTTCTTCCATAAACAACCAATTACACCCATAAATAAAATAAAAAAAAAATAAAACCATTACAGTGACTAACAAGCGTAGCTTTCTTACAAAATGAATTTGAGCCCAAAATTGAATAGAAACTTTACAAATAAAAGATGAGTAAAAACAAAAGTAAAAGAAAGCCTATATATATATATATATATATATAAATATATCCATAATCCAGAATCTAAGAAACATCTACATCACAGAGCAATTGCACTTGGATTCTAACTTAGGAGGCCTTGCACTGTCAACCTTCTTAGGAATTTCATCATTCGAAGCAGCGAATTCTTCCGAATCTGCATGATTTTCATTCTTTAACTCTCTAAGAGGCAACTCACTCCGCGCTTCAGTTTTCTTTCGCTCGAGCTTCCTCGATGCTTGAGTTCGACGCTTATCGGAGAGATTTCGCGATCCTTCCCTCAGGCCAGGGATGGGTTTTTCCATGATTTTTACTGTAGGAGGAGGAGAGTACTGCTCAAGAATTGCCTTTTGGTCCTTTTCCATGGCAATAGTGGTGGCTTTATAGGCCAAGTCATGAATAATGGAACTGCAGAACAAAATGGTGTCTGTTGCTTCTTCTAACGTTAAGTTCCTTGATTGATTGTTCTTTGGGCCTTCAACCATTATAGCTGATTCACCTGTAAGAACATCGGTTACACGCTCGCAAAATATGGGTTTTAAGAGCTTAGCAAAGTTGGTATTATAGATGGGATCATGGTAGCTTGTCATTTGAATTAAAATTTTACTTGTAACAATGATGTTGAAATTTTCATGGAACATAAAACATGCTTCATATTGAAGTTTTATAGGCAACTTCGAAACATAGAAGAGTCCATTGAGGAAAAAAAAAAAAGAAAAAAAGACATCAACATGCTATTGGACAGCAGAGAGAGCTGACTGAGAATCAATTTTTATTTCAAAATTGCTCATGATAAGGTAAACAACCTTTACTTTCCATATTTTAACCATGATAAAGGTTTTCCAACATGATGGGCATCTTATGATAGAAGTGGCATGAGAATTCACGCCTCATCATTTCTCTAACAAAACAATGGCTAAATTTTGTAGTTTCTTAATGTTGGTCTTAAATCCACACTACAGTCCCTTTGGGTTCTGAGCTCAGGGCTGAGTTTGGCAGACTCAAACTAACCAAACTCTCCTCCTTCAAACATCAAAAATAAAGCTCCATAATACTGATGTGATTTAATGCTGGAAACAAGTACTGAGCCATCATCCAATAGTACCAGTATGAAATTATGTTTAGTATACAGCATGTTTTACTTGCTAATCGCATCGGTAAACTTTAAACTAAGAGATATTAAACCAAGAAAAACTAAACAGCTATAATTGTGTAATAATAATTTTTTTTAAATATTTTTGTAAAAGCAAATTGAAACGAATTCAAATGTTACGACATTGTCATTTCACAGGTGTTGTTTGAATTGGATGCCCTTAAGTCGCCACCTCATTTCCCTCATCCATTCAAAACCGAACAAGAGAGCCAGAGAGAATAGAGGGAGCGAGAGAAAGCCAGAAGAAGAGGAAAAGAAAGAAGGAAGAAAGAAGAGGAAGAAGTAGAAAGGGATGAGGTTAGCTTTATCCAAGCCAGAGAGGAAGGGAGAGAGCTCAAGCGGCATTTTCCTCGCATGAGTTAGGATCAAGTGGCTGGGGAAAACACTTCTCACATGTCGCCGGCGCATCCCGATCAAGGAAAGAAAAAATGAGGAAGCTGAGCACTTCTCCCTGTTGTGTGGCTCACAGAGAAAGGATCGAGTTGAAGGAGAAGAACAAGGATTCTGCCTTCCAGTACCGTACCGTAGTGAAAGGAGGAGAGTCTCACGCCTTAAACCAAGCAAATGAAAGGAGGAGAGGCAGTGAGCAGCTAAGGGAAACTTTCTTTATGCAAGTTTGACCTGCTATGAGGGAGGAGAAACTTGATCGAGAACTTGGGGAGGAAGAAAGCGCTGAAGCCTTCTGCATGCGGCAGAGCTTGACCGAGCCTTATCAGTTCGGTTCAAAAAATATTAGAGCAAGGCAGATATAAACTGTTAAGTTAGTTTAAGTTAGTAATTGTAATTGAGTAAAATGAACTATTTGAAACTTTACATTAAACTAATTTCAATTTTGTTAATAATTGTATAAAAAGTAATCAGAGAGAAGACTAAAGCAGGAAAAAGAAAAATTCATTACAGGAAACAAGGCATGAAGCTTAATTTAAATTTAAATCATATAATTAAATTTGGTTAAAATGCCTATTTAAAGTGTTTTTAAGTTAAGTATGTTAAAATTTTAGGAAAAAAATATAAGTATAATATTGTAAAACATAAAATAACACTAATTGATGAGATAGCTTACGTTTCAGAAAAACAGAAAAAATTTGGATGATTATAATGATATAGTTGCATATAAATGTTCATATAATTAAATCAATAGCTAATTAAATAAATAAAACTAATAATAGTAAATTTAGAAATAATAGAAAAGAATATTAGTTCTGAACAGAAGCTAATTTTATTTAAATTGTTCATATAGATGCACTCAAAAGCCTGGACTAATTGAGGAAATGATAGCAGACTGCTCTATGCAAGAGGATAAATATTTGTAATTTACAATAATTCCGTTTATTCTTGAAAGTAATAATACATGTTTTACTCTTCTCAGCATTTATTTAAATTAAATGCAAAAAATAAAAAAAAAATTATGCATGCATATGAGAGTTCCGTCTGGATGGTACTGGTAAGGGAATGCGATATATCCGTGCACGAAAATGAAAACGAAAATTAAAATTAAAATGGAAATGAAAATGATTGCTTACATTTATGGTGGATTGGAAAAGGTTAAATGTATATTTTTTTTAAAACATGTGTTTAAATGGTGACTCTCAATAATGAAAAGTGTGATAGAAATAAATAAAAGAAAATAAAGATTTTCTTTTATTGCGTGCAACCTTTTATTATTTACTGCAATTTTTAGAAAAATATTTTAAAAGTAAATTTATTGTAATTTAGAAATATTTACCCACTGAGTAGTATGTATGTGTGTGAAGAGGGAGGACTGCAGTGGCAACTTCTTCCCAAGGTAGAAAGGGTCGGACAACCAAAGAGAGAGAGTCTTCTCACAGAAAACAACCCATCACTCAGCTGGCTTCCTCATGAAATTGAAAACTATCATTGGAAGCAGGAATAGGTTCAGGGAAGCAGCTAAAAGACCTCACAAACAACCTCCAGGGAGGGCCGAAGCATGGTTACAGACCAAACAGTGGGAACACCTTCTCTCGACACAAAAGAAGGGATAAAATGAACACCCAATAGTCCCCTTTTTATTAAATAAACCTGTCTTTCATAGGAGAAAGTTTAAAAATAAACTTGGACAGTACAAAAAGACCACTACGCCCTTTTAAAAGAAAAGAAAACAGTAAACATAAAAGAAGACTATAGACAAATATGAGGACTATCCTAGAATAATCTTGTATCAGAAAGAGTATTTGATGCAATCATGCATATCAATCAATATAGTCAAATCAGCAATAATCATATTAAAAACTTGCATGGACATGGATACAGCGTTTACTTACAGAGATTAGACATATCACTAATTTTAAAGATATGTAAAAAACTACTATATTTTGGCATAAAAAAGGCCTAGAGATCCGCATTGCAAAAAGTGTACTTGTAGTAAAAATTTTAAAAAATGGAATATCAGCCAAATTGATTATCAAATTTGATGACATATAGAAATATTACCAGTTTCAAGGACTGCCGTCACAAATTCTGAGGAACAAAGGGATACTTCATTTTCTGATTTTTGGGGGATAGTATGCTCATTTGAAAGTCCCGGAGAAGGTGGCTCACGGAAGGGCATACACTCAGTTTTCCCATCCCCAAGCTCAATGTGGCCATCATTTGATTCAGCAGTCCCGATAGAACAGTTATTGGTTGCTGCATCAAAGATAACATTTTCGAATGTATGGTTCGGCAGAATGCGGTGTTCTTCCATTTCAGAGAAAACACTAATATCACTTGTTTTTTTTATAGCTTCAACATTGTTTCCACTATTTTGATGGTCTTCATCAGAATTTAATGATGATGTGCATTCCTTGGCACACATAAAATCTACTACTGAAGAACAAGGCAAATCATTATTTTGTTGATGGTTCAGACTTCGTGATTCAGAGGAGCTTACTGTCCTGCAACTATCAGCATGCACAGATCTGCAATCCTCAGAATTTACTGGCCTTGAAGATGGAGTGGAATCCAAATTTGATAGATCCAAAGAGTTAGCGCACTCTTCAGGAACCACTTTCATTTCTCTTAATGAGTCATATCGTAAACACTCTGTAGAACAGCTAGTTTTTTCATCAAATTTATTTCCGAGGTGCCTGGGTTCATAGTAATTACTTGAAGCATCACAATCTGAACTCACGCTTTGTACAAGGCTCTCAATGTTCCTTTCTATACTAAGTGCCTCACTTTTCCTACTGGACAGGTACTGAACATAAGCCTCTGTCTGAATAGACAATCCGAGATCAATGGATGAAGTAGCAGAAGAACTATCTAGTCCAAAGCTTCTTCTCGAGGGATCAACATTATTTCTTGAATAAGAAGGTTCGGAGCAAAAAATATTTGTAAGAGACAAAGACTTTCTTTGTAAAATGGGTCGCTTGGTGCCGGCGGATCCCTGCAGTAGAACCACTGAGATACCTGCACTTTCTGGAGCATCAACTTTTAAACTGGGATTAACATCATGATTTGACGACTGACGTGTGCTGCCTCTGCAATCCTCGGCAACATTTGTGTTCCTGTTAATGTCCAGATGCTGATCAGAAAGCTGAGACTCCTTCTGATCCAAAAACTCCATGGAAAGGATGTTTTGAAAGAGATTATCCCCCAGGTTAATGTTCATCCCATGTTTATCAAGCATCACCCCTCTGTTATCATCTTTATGGAATTCAACCACTCTACTATTAAGCTGCTCGCCCTTGCTTAACTCCTCCATTACTGTGTCCATCTGAGATTGAACTTCATTTACGGTGAAACGCACAGAAGTAGAAGCTATTTCTGCAGTACGAAACCTATTTTCACCACATTCTTCGCAAATTTTTTTGTTTCTACTAATATCTTCAATGTCTAACTCTTTGCCACATTTAGAGCAAACTGCCTTAATTAGATAGCCATCACTATCACCCTGATTTTCAGCACATTGTGCTAACACAAAACTATCTATACTATTTGTTACATCACCAATGCTACGCATGGGATTCTGGATATCTTCAGAATTATGTTTCTTTTTCAAATTTTCAGAAAATTCCTTATCATAACCACTATGTTTTCCACAGAGTGCCTCACCATTTGCATCTCTGATAATCTGATCTGCTTTATCGAACAAAAATACTTCCTCATGGGAATCAAAATCTTCAGCCCTTTCCCATCTATCAGGCATACCATTTTGTTCACGATCACTACCCTCCACATCCGGTGCAACACTAAAAACACCTTGTTCTGAGCTTCTATTAGTATTACTGCTCGTTGTAAAGGATGAGTTCCTAGAAAAAGGGGGTCGGAAAGTGGTTGCAGGGACACTTGATAAAAGTGGCCTGAACATACTCTGAGGTGTTTTGCGCTGATCCTGGATAGATCAAGAAAAAATAAATATGGCCTTCAAAGGAAAATTCATCAAAAACACAGAAGCGAAGAAAACGCACGCTAATGAGTTCTTGACTGAAAAGGAAACAAATTAACATCAGAAATAGAAATCCAAAACAAAATTCTAAATGAGATTAAATTAAAAAGATTTACCAACCAATCTAGATTGACCATTGCATTACAGAGAAGCACTTAGCCTTCATTCTACTTCGGTCATCATTTCATTTATCAAAACATGTTAAATTGAGGCTTCTCACTTATCCTCTAACTTCAAATCATCATCATTCAACAGTGTTGCACTTCATGTTAAGATTTGAAAAATTATTAGAAAGATAAGATTGGCTTGATTAACAAACATTTTAAATTAATTCTTAAGAGGACACAGTCAAATATTTTGGCATCAATATGAAAAAATAATTTTACATAAGCAAAAGTATGATATTTATAGAAGAATCAAAGTTATTAGTTAGAAAATAAAGTTATAGTAGGTATTAGGATATAAGTTTCTTAAAAGTCGGAGTTGGAGAATCAATTAGATTTTTTAGTGCAAATAAATACTATGAAGCTAATCTTTGTAATAGGTCAATAAAGATAAATTTATAGAACAAATAGAGGATCTTCACATAGTTTTTAATGATCTTAAAAGGCACATGATATAATAACATGATGCAGTTTTTAAAGATCGTAAAAGACGCATGATATAATAACATGATATTTTATTTTATGGACACTGCACAAAAGATAAAATTTGAGTTAACCATGGGGTTGTTTAAAATATTTTTTTGTTATTTTTAAAACATATTTGTTTATGACATGTTTGGGATTACTTTCTGTTTTCTATTTTTATTTTTTTTAGTATTTTTTTTTTTGTTTTATTTTCTGCTATCTGTTTTTAGAAAATGCGTTTGGTAAGGTTATGATTTATTTGTTTTTAAAAACAAAAATTATAAAACATATTTGATATGATATTTTTTACTTTTAAAAATTATACATTTTATAAAACAATTGGATCCACGTGCATATAAAATGTTTTCCTTGCTCCACCTAAAATGAAGGATTACCTGCGGTCGGGCGAGCGGCGGGCAGCGGGACTCACTATTTTCGGTATTTTAAAAACAAGAAAAAAACATGTCTTTTCTGTTTTGAGCATTTTTAAACAAAAGTGTTCCTCCATAAAATAAAAAACATAAATAAAAGAAAAAATAGATAGGCAACCACTGTTTTTTTTTTGTATGATACTTTTTATTTTCAAAAACAAAAAATAAAATTTGATCCCAAATAGCCACTTAGAGTATTTTTAGTATTTTTTTATATTTTATTCTTAAAAATAAATCAAATTATTTTTAAGAATGCTCAAAAACAATTTTCAGTGGTATGAACTTTTTTAAAGAACAACCATCACATAAGTCATTGCTTGCCAACGGTCACATGTTGTGGGCCGCAAGCAACCGTTGCTCTCACCTCTTTAAGCAATTTATTTAATATTTCATTAAACCAAAAAATATATTTTTAATATACCAAACATGTTTTCTTTCAAATCAAAACATATATAAAATAAAATACAAAATACAAAATACAAAACAAAAATAAAAGTGATCTCAAATAACCCCCTATAAGTTGAAGTTATTACAATAATATATGAACTAATATTGACAAACAATAATACAAGTAATTGTCAGGTTAATGATGCCAAAGAATACATATTCATTTATTGTTCAGAACAATCAGCCCACACAAGATCAGTTCTCACGGGAAAATTACAATGAGTCAAAAAAGCTACAAAGAAGTTGAGCCATACTAGATTTCCAGACTTTTTAGTTCCATTGTCAACTTAGGTTGGATTTTCCTTCATTTCCTTTTTAATTGGATATAAAAACAAGAATATTATCAAAATTACTTTGTGAAATATGACGAAGAGTAATCCCATCCACAACTTAAAGTTGTTTTTTTTATAAATAGGTTTGCAAGAACGTTTTGACTATTTAGTAAATGAAAAATGTATCATTAATAGCATCAATTATGAGTGCTCCTCTTCCTCTTTTGGCCCAAGTTGTGTACAAGAGCTTTCCCCTTCACCTATCTATAGAATTTTTCTACAACAATTTTATATGGAAGTGAATATCATGTTATTTTGATCACCAATTTTTTCAATTTTTTTTTGTTTAATTCTATGTTACAAGTGCCTTTCATCAGCCTCAAAAGACATAATTCGGCTATGAGTCGTCCTCATACATCTAATCCAACAACCTAGGGCATTGTTCAAATCCAACAAATACTATATCCAATTTAACTCATATACCTCCATTGCATAAAACCTGCAAAACCTTAACCCTAATATTCATAAGTAAAAATCACGGCGAAATTGTACCTATAAACCCAATATTCATAAGTAAAAATCACGTCAAAACTGTACCTATTAATCTTCCTCCTCTCCGTAAAATCTTTCTTATCTAAACCTCACATTTGCAATTCCTTCATAATCTGCAATTAGCTTCATCAAGTCTTTGTGCTTCATCCTCCCCCTCACTTGCATTCCTTCGCACTCTGTTGACCTACAAATCTGCTATGCTCCACAAAAACGGTAAATATTGGACACCATAACGAGCTGCTTGGAGCTAATTCACCAAAGACTTATTCTTCATCCACTAAAATAATCCAAATGATGCTCGATCATAAATTTAACTGTCAATTTGTCAAAGTGGTGAAATTAGACCTAAAAGTGATAAAACGACCCCGCATGGTGGAAACAATGGACGACGAATACAAAACCAACTTGCCGTTCCTTTTTACGTGGATTCGCTCGCACGCATTAGGCCTCATTTGCATGGATTTTCACCCACGTAAAAATTTTTATTGAGGCCTCGCTTTACGGAACGAACTATGCAAGTGCATCCAGGTAGTCGAGACGGTTCATACGAGCCGATTCACATATGAATCGGACTTCAGTTCATGTATGTCAAGGGATCAAATAACTTCTTATCATTTTTTATTTGAATAATCATATAATCTTAACATATGACTATATATTCTAGTATTCACAATATATATATATATATATATATATATATATATATCAAGAAAATGCCCGATTGCAAATATATTAATACGAAAAAGATACAAAAAAGTAATATGAGAAGGACCTAAAAGAAAGCCCAACTCATACAATACAACACACACCAAATTCAGATAAAGCAAAAATAAAAAATGTTAAAAACAAAAAAACACAAAATGACACAAAAGTACTAGGGACGTCTCACTTTAGTTCTCCTTCCTCTAGTTCTCGGAAGTGAGTCGGCAAACAAATTAGTAAGGTGTGTACCATTGCCCGTAGCAACCAAAGTATCATCCATTAGATTCTTGAGCTCAAGTACATTTTCATTCTTCTTCTTCCTCCTAGATGTGTAGACTTGTCATTCCTCATCCGATGATTGACTAATCTGATCAGTAGTTTCCAAAGATGGTCAGACAGGTGTAGGTCATTGCACGTCTTAATCCCCATGAGCCTGAGTAATATTAACATCTTTATGGACCTAATGATGCGGTTGTGAAGCAATAGAAATATTTTCACCTGTCTTATCAGTGATAGGTTCTAGGACAGGCGAGGTATGAAGAAACTCCCTCTCCCCTACGATAAGAGGTCCCAAAGACGAGGGATCTACAACTGGGGATTGAATAGTTGTCAAATTGTCTGTCTGATCAAGAGGTTCCAAACATATGATTTGTCTGAAGTCATCCTCTAGGACAAACCTTTAGAGAAGAAAGCAGACGAGCGCAAAGAACGCAGGAATCGGAGCAGTTACCGCGAGGTTGAGCCGCAGAGGGACGAGCGCAGAGAACGCAGGAAACAGTTCCCGCGAGGTTGAGCCGCAGAAGCGAGCGGCGAGACCGGACGCGGGGAGACAAGCCTCGTCTCAGAGCAAGCCAGAGAAGGAAGAAACGCGAGAGACGAACTCGAGCGCGAAGAACAAGCGAGCGAGAGAGATCGAAGTCATGACTGTTGCTAGGGTTCGCCATTGGGCGAAACCCTAGCAGAGCCGAGCAATGACGACACCATGACTTTATATATATATATATATATAAAGGAATGGTCTGAGGTTATTATGCCAGCCCCGATCATCCCCAATGCATCTAACAATTCGAGTACCACAACCTCCACCCGGGGGAATCGAACCCCAGACCAAAGGGGGCTTACAAGTGACAAGCAGATGTCCGACCAACTGATCTGAGTACTATATATATATATATACATGCATACATACATGCATACATATAGTTAACATATTTATATACATATATTCACATAATATTATTATATAACATTCCATCCAAAACTTTTATCTCATTTCATGCATTAGTGAAATATATATGCTTTGGATTTAAGAATAATTAAGAGACAATAGAAAAAATGAAAAGAAATTTGCAGCAAAAAAAAAATAATGAAAATCCCTCTATCCCCAACTCACGGCAAAAACAATAAAAGAGGGCCCAAACAAAATCAAATCTCTTGCAATTTTACAAAAAGGACCAATCTCTCCCCTTGTTCTCTTCTCTCTCTAGTTTCGGTAGGGAAGAGATGGTTTGCCAAAAAAACACCCCATTAATTCATTTCTCTATTATGGTTTGGGTTATCTCCTGTATCACTATATTATTTCTTTATCTATAAAGTAGATTTAATGTGACATGCTCTATCATTCCATAATTGATATTCTCTGTGAGAAATGATCAACTTGTCATCAAAATTAAAAACATAATAATTGTCTCATTTTTTTAAATCTTAGAAGTCAAGCTTTAAAATTCTAGTAAGTTGAACTTTTTTAGGTATTTAACTCTGAAGGCCAGGAAATAATTGTTGAGACAATGACGAGAGCAAAAAAATGATCATTTGAGCTTTAAAATTCATAGTTCCTTTCAAAAAGAAAGCTCCAACCTATTTCACACACCAAAATGCCGATATCACGTCATAGATGAATCTTAATCTCAAAT